AAGTGCCGAAGGACTCAACCAGGACTCCTAACCCAGGGTTTGTGCTTATGGTTCCCGAATTCTGTGCCAAGGCACCCAAGGACACCGCAGCTAACTCACAGGACTGCCACCAAATACTTTAACATTTTCCAGGTGGCCACAGTGACATCTGTCAGACCTTACACTATTGAGTCATTTGGACTTAACTACCTATCGACAGAACTACTAGTTATTTCTTTAGCCTAGGGGCACCTCGAAACATCACGGAGACCATCAGGCAAGGTCTTTTGGGTTCAGTACACCGTAGGATGGACACGCGGCCACACGACTGTGTGCAGACATCTCTTCTACACGCCCCCTCCTCACTCTCGTCATCGGCCAGCCCCTTTGCACTTGCTGTTGCTGATCTGTTTCTGTAGGAAAAGCGCACACGTTTGGCATGAACTTGATGTGGGTTTGCAGTAGCCACCTATAGCTCAGCACCAGAGGCAGCTGTGGCTCGTCCCTTTGGGGAGGAGAAAGAGCAGGTTGGCTCAGAGCCTCTGAGTTTTCATCATCGGGCAGGTCCCCAAACGTACACACAAGTTGGCAGAATTTGCTGCTAGAGCCATTGGTTACCAGGTGTCTGCGCTTCCTCCTTCCTGACTTTGTCCCCTTCTTCCTTGAGAGCCCTCAGCCCCGCTCTCTGCTGACCTCTTCCCTCCCAAAGCTTCCCCTGCAGCCCCAGGCAAGGCCCATCCCGCCTCTGTGCCCCTCCCACGACCGCGGACTCTACTGTGCAGGGCCTTCGCCGCCCGGCCGTTACTTTCAACTGCCACTGGAATTTTCCCTCCTCAGAATTCTCGGGGGTTGGTGCCCTGGTTCTGCAGCCAGGGGACTTATTAGGCCCTGAGGATGGGGACCACACCCTTCTGTGGGGACCCCACAGCTAGTACACTGGAAATGCCCAGTGAATATGTGATGGATTAATCTAATAACTTAATGCGGGTGTTAGGGCAGTCCCACCTTCTCATTTTGCAAGGGCTCTCCCTGTCTTAGCTGAAGAAAAACCTGATGTGGAAGCCTCGGCAGGCCCTACAGAGGGGCTTTGGCTGGGGTCTTTGGCCGTCCTGTGGCCCTTCTCCTGCCCCTGGTCTCAGCCATTCTCTGCCATGGCTCCCCTGTCCTTCTAGGCAGGTGGCCTACAGAGCTGGGACAGGGCTGTCTGAGGAGTTAGGAGCTGGATTTAATCAACCGCTTTCTCTTTTCATGGCAACAGGGAGAGGAGACTGATGTCTCTGAGACTGAAGTGCCCATGCCACCCCTCCCAGGGACCCGGGCCTCTGGCAGCCCCCAGTCCTACTTCCCAGGGCTGCTGGGCTCTGCTGTCCTTGTGATTTTCAGGGGGTGCATGTGGGGCTGGGTGGGGGGGAGGGATGTGGGAGAAAAGGCTGCCCACTCCTTGGACACCTCCCAATTCCTCAGTGTCACCACCTATCCTCTGTCAGCACCTGAGAGGGCATTCTAGAGATGGAAAGAGGCCCTGCTTTTAGTGCACGTAAAAATACAATGGCGAGGTAGAGCCTCATCTGGAGGTTAAGACTTAAAGCCTGTGGTTTAAGGCTCCTAGTTCCTGAAGTTTAGGGCACTGAGCCCGGCTGGGACTCTGCTCTGCAGGCCCCCGTGTTAGGTTTGGGTGCCTTGGAAGAGCTCTCTTGCCAGAGGCCGCACACAGCCTCACTGTCCTGGTGGGCCAAGGTCTTGCAGATCAACTCTGTGTCCCCGGGAGGGGAGAGGAGGCTGGCCTGCCTCCTCTCTGGTGTTGGCTGAACCGCAGGCAAGGGACACACTGGAGCAGCCCTGGGCAGCATGCTGTCTTCCTCCCAGCTGGGGCCATCGTGGGGTGCCCAGGCTCTCGGTTACCACATGGTCACCAGAACCTGCAATGGCTCCCATGCCTTCAGACCTAAGAAACGGCTCCCCCAACCGGGCCAGCTTCCTCGCCCACCTTGGCCAGGCGTTGTGCTGAGAGCTGGAGCTACAGGGCTTGATTATTCAGAATGGCTGCCCTAGCGGGGCTGAGAGTTGATTTGGAAGTAAACGCAAGTGCCGTAGTAACTTCAGCGTGACTAAGTGAGAGCTCTGCTCTGCCTGTGACAGGACCCCAGAGGAAGGCCACCCATCCAGGACCTGTGCTCCCGAGCAGGGAGAGCCTGAGCTGAACCCTGGTGAAGAAAGGATTAGCCAGGCTGGGAGTGGGTTGTGGGGGAGCCCAGAGGTGGCCCAGGCGTAGGGTGGGAAACGCAGCCAGGGGAAAGCACAGGTGCGTGACATAGCAAGGTGGGGGCACGGGGCACTGCTCATCGAGGAAACAAGCAGAGGCTGGGTTTGCAGAGGGACTGAGGGGATTGTCCCACGCCGGGTACGATCTCGTAGACTCTGGCAAGCAGCAGGGCAGTCAGAGGGTCAGATGGGCATTTTTGGTGGAGCCCCCCGGCTGCAGTCTGAAGGGGACAGATCTAAGCAAGGTCACGAGTTGGGGCTGGAAAGAAGGCCACTGCAATGGACCAGGCAGGAGATGAAAAGCCTCAGTGAGGGCAGAGGAGGGGCAGGAGGACTGGAGTGGAGGAGGTAGGGGGCTGCATGTGCCACGTGGCCCTGGGCAGGTGTCATCAACTAAGGAACAGAGTTGGGAGGTGGGGGTGATAGTGGCACACGGTGTCTGTGGGCTCAGGGGAGGTGGAAGTGGCTGTGTCTGTTGCATTAATGGGCTTCCCAAACCAGAGTCAAGGACACAGGTGAGGGAGGGTGAGGGGACAGTGGGTGAGGACAGATTCCTGAGGACAGCTATATTAGGGGCGGGAGAGAGAACACGACAGAGGCAGAGGAGGTGGGGAGCTTGGTGGAGAATCAGGAGCAGATGCTCCTATGTGCCTGGGGGGTGGTATGACCCCCTCTCTCCTCCCTTCCACCCTTCCCCCAGCCTGTGAACTGGCAGTGACCAGTCTTAAGGGCTGCTGTCTCCCTAAGGTGCCTAAAGCTATGTCTGATGCATAATAGGTGCTAAATTAATGTTTGTTGAATCCACTGAACACAAATATAACATAGAGGCCAGAGAGAGGAGGGCTGGAAACATTGGTGAATTTGGCAATGGAGAGGGTGGGAGGTGCGGAGGAATGGTGGGTCACTAGCCAGGCCAGTTCTGGGGGAGAGGGGAGGAGGGTGTGGAAGCCAGGCTTCCACAGATGGGAGGAGGCAGTGTTTTGGGGTAGAGTTGGGGTAGGGTGGGAGGTGAGGAAGTGGAAGACAGTCTCTCTATTCCTTGTAGAAGTTCGTCCAAGACAGGAAGGGGAGAGAAAGTGCAAAGCACAAGATCAGCGGTTAGATAATTTTTAAAGAATTTAACAGAATGTTTATTGCTCCATCCTCCAAATACTGCATGTAAGTTAGGAAAATATAAGTAAGAAGAAAAACAAAACAAAACAAAACACCTGTAGTTCCATCCATTAGAAACGTAACTCATTAAACCTTGGAGTAATTTCCTTCCAGACTTTTTTGGTTTTGTTTTTTTAGTAATGATAATCACCCAGTATGTTATTTTGCAGCAGATCTTTTTTCACTTAGTATTTTCTCGGTCCAGGCTATTCTTCCAAAATATCCTTTACATTTTTACCTCCCTATCTTTCTAATAGCTGAGATTCAAATGGTTTGAAATGCAACATGTGTAAAAGAACCTTCAGTGAAAAGTTGCCCTTTTATTCCCTGCCTCTGAGCCACTGAGTTCCTCTCCCTGAAGGCAACTGATGTTACTTTACAAACACCAGATTTGGCGGTTAGATAATACTCCATTGCATGAATGTTCCAAAATTTATTTAACTTTCCATCTTGAATATTTACATGCTACTTAGTTTTATTTTGCTATCATACATAAGGATATGATGAATATCCTTCTAGCTAATCTTTGTAAACATACTGTATCTTATTAGAATAAATTTTTAGAAGTAGAATTTCTGGATCAGAAGGTAGGGCAAATTTTTTTTAAAAAAGGCAACTTTCAATATCAGATTTTATTATATACTTCCAGGAAAATCTATTATCAATTGACACTCCTATGCCTAGCTCTCCACCCATGTCATTAAAACTCACTTCCTCAAATGATGCCAACTTACTGAGTGAAAGATGGTTGTGAGTGCCTCTAACCCTCCTATGAGCTGCATTTTAGGAGGTGTGAGTGGCATCTTGGGGAAAAATAGGAGAGTAGGTGATGGCTCCAGGGAGGGTGGCTCAGCCTGGGGTCCTGAGAGAGGAGCAGAGGAGACAATCTGAGCGATCGCTCAAGGTAGCTACATGGCCAGTGAGCCCAAAGCCCAGCATGTCTCAAGATTATAAAAGCCATATATGACAAACCCACAGCCAACATCATACTGAAGGGGGAAAAGTTGAAAGCTGTCCCCCTAAGAATTGGAACAAGACAAGGTTGCCCACTGTCACCACTTCTATGCAACATGGTGCTGGAATTCTTAGCCAGAGCAATCAGGCAAGAGAAGGAAATCAAGGGTATCCAAATCAGCAAAGAGGAGGTCTAACTCACTTTTTGCTGATGATATGATCTATATCCAGAAAACCCTAAAGACTCCATCAAGAGACTCCTGGAATTGATAAATAAATTTAGCAAAGTCTTAGATTCAATGTATACAAATCAGTAGCATTTCTATATATTAGTCAAGCTGAGAGTCAAATCAATGATTCAATACTATTCACAATAGCTACAAAGAAAATTAAATACCTAGGAATATAGTTAACCAAGGAGGTAAAAGATCTCTCTACTAAGAACTACAAAATACTGGGGAAAGAAATTGCAGATGACCCAAACAAATGGAAAAACATATCATGCTCATGGGTCAGTAGAATCAAGGTTGTTAAAATGTCTATACTACCCAAAGTGATTTACAGATTCAATGCAATCACTATCAAGACACCAGTGTCATGTTTCACAGATCTAGAAAAAATAATTCTCTGCTTTGTTTGGAACCAGAAAAGAGCCCGAATAGCCAAAGCAATCTTAAGCAGAAAACAAATCTGGAGTCATCACATTACCAGACTTCAAACTATGCTACAAGGTTATGGTAACCAAAACGGCATGGTGTTGGCACAAATATAGAGACATAGACCAAATGGAACAGAACAGAGAATCAGATATGAAACCGTCCACATACAGCTAGGAAGGGGGAGCAGCAGGTCAGTGGTTGGTGAGTGCAGGCTAGCGAAGCTTCATCTGTATGTACTGACACTTCCCATCACTCGCATCACCACCTGAGCTCAGCCTCCCCTCACTCCCCCAGTGAAAAAATTGTCTTCTATGAAACCTGTCCCTAGTGCCAAGAAGGTTGGGGACCACTGGTTTAAAGGATATTTTGGAAGAGTAGTAGCCTGGATAGAAAAAAGTATTCAAGAAATATTAAATGAAAAGATATGTTGCTAAATAATATACTGGGTGATACCATTGGCATTTCTACTGAGAGACACATTCTTCCCTAAAGAATGTCGAATAACAACAAAAAAGAAATAAACAAGATAATTTGGTTTTCAATAAGTAGTTACTTGTCTTTGGGCTGCCAGACGTCTCCTTGCCTTGCTTCCAGTCTGACTGCAAGTTTTGGAATCCAAATTTAGCTCCTGTCCCCCAGGAGCACCTTTGAGGACCATAAGTTTCCCGGAAATCCACACCTTGGAGAGCTGGCCCCCCAGAGTGAAATGGGCACCCCACTCTCTGTGAATTTGGAGTCATATCTTCCTCCTAAAACTTGCTTGTTCTCCTGATTTATTCCCATTGATTAGTCTTTCCAGATAATTGTTTTTTCCAAGGCCTTATTTTTGTCTCAGCTGTTATTTCCGTAGCTTGTACTCCAGCTGGATTTTTTTTTTTTTTTACTGGTCTCTATATTAGTTTCCTAGGGTTGCTGTAACAAATTACCACAATCTGGGTGGCTTAAAAAAAACAGAAATTTATTCTCTCACAGTTCTGGAGGCAGGAAGTTCGAACTCAAGATGCCAGCAGGCGTGGTTCCTTCTGGGGGCTCCTGGGAGAACCCCTCCTGTGCCCTCTCCTAGCTTCTAGTGCCTGCCAGCAACCCCCGGCCCTCTGTGGCTTGTAGATGCATGGTGACGATCTCTGGCTCTGTTGTCGTATAGCAATCTCCTCTTGGTGTGAGTGTGTGTGTCTTCACATGTCCTCTCCTCCTCTTATAAGGACAGCAGCCATGGGATTTAGAGCCCACCGTAATCCAGCAGGACCTCATCTTAACTAGCAACATCTGCAAAGACCCAATTTCCAAATAAGGTTACATTTTGAGGTTCTGAGCGGACATGAAAGTTTGGGGGCCACCCTTCAACCCTCTACAGTCTCTCTGCCTTCAGATCTTTCCATCCACCCATCCATCCCATGACCCTCTTGGAGTCATTTTTCTTAAACCTCGCTCAGCAGGAATACCTCACCCTTGCCTCCAAACCCTTCAGTGTCCACTGTTGACAGAATAAAGTCCTGCGCTTAGCTCAGCTTTAGTCTGCTCCCAATGCCCAATTTTACATCCCATTTCTCCACTCTCCTACACACACCCTCCAATCCCACGGGAAAGGTCTTCTGCGTTGTTGAATGTGCCGCAAGCACTCTCAGCATCTGCCCCGTTCTCTGTCCGTTGCTTAGACGCTCTCCTTCTGGAATATGCATTTCATATCTTTCCTTGCTCATAAGAATGTTCCCACCCAGCCCAGGTTGAAGGGCCTGCAGACTGACACTACCCCACACTGCTGCACACCATTCCTCGGTCTGGAGCGATGCCATCCTCTCCTGGAGTTTACATTTTACCCAAGGATGAGCCAAGGACGACCCTGTGTGCTTTGCTTCTTTGGGTCCTTGGATTTGACCATGGTGTTTTGAATCATGTGGCGTCATGGCAAATGAGTTTGTACGTTGCTGCTGGCGTGAGCATGCTAGCCGGTTGACTGAGACCTGGCATGCGTAGGCCTATCATGATTGGGTGCATTAACTGAAGTACTCCATGCCACGGTGAATAAAGCAGATGAAGAGCCCTGTGGGGACATGAAGCGAGGGGAAAAGGGAGAATTGTGGCTGCTTTGAGAGTTAGGGTGGTGGTCTTTCAAAGGAAGAATGAACTGGCAGAATCACTGCAGGAGAGGCATATCCCTGAGGCTGGATGCCACGAGGCACTGGGCTCAGTAGGAAAAGTAATGACATGTTGGGAGGGAAACCACCGCCCTGTCCTTGTGAGGATCAACTGGGGAACAACGTGGTTGGCAAGGGATAGAGACTGGAAGGAAATAAAAGAGGAGATACACAGTACAGTGCAGTACAACAGACAGGACAGACATCAACACCTTTCATTATTGGCCTTGACAGATGCTCTGAAAACTTGAAAGTAACCAGGAAGTTTTTATTCTCATGATTATTATTAGTGTCTTTTGCTAGCTCTTCCTAAGTGGCAGTGATTGGCATCGGCAACTGGCTCTTCAAATTATCTCCCAAAGCACCACGTCTCTATGGGGACACACGAGGGACTTAGTTCACCTGGAAGCAGATTTCCTCTACAATTTCTTGCCTCGGGGACTTTGTGCTTTTTTCTGGGGTTATGCCTCAGCCACGTCAAAGCCCCATAGGCATTCCCTGCTGGGATCAAGAAGTGGCCCACCCAAGAAACAAGAGCGGAGTTAGAATCAGGGGTGAGAATTCCAGGTGGGTGCTGCTCAAGGTGTGGGCTCCGGGCTGAGCCCACCGTCCGACGAGCCACATTCTGTGTTTGAGGTCCCAGGACGAGTGTTCAGTGTTGGAACCTTTGAAGCCACCAGGGTCTTTCCTTGCTGGGTCTTGGCAATACTTCTTCATGTCGTGGGTTTAGAAACTCAGGCTAAAGAATGGACGTGGGGAAGATTGCCCACCTGTAAAACTGTTTACGGACAGCCTGTAATTGTAGCTCTGATCTCGTCCATCTGACTCATAACTCTGCATATGCTGTCTTACCTGGCTAGATTTAAAAAAAAAACCAAAACTTATATTGTGGAAACAGGAGACTCTCAAGGCTGTTAAAAATTGCAGTTTCTTGGACATTCCATCCAAAAAGTATGCCTGTTTGCCTTGGGAGGGGAAAAATTAAATTTATTTGTCAGTATGTCCTCGGTGCAGCACACTTGTTTTCAGGTCCTAATGACAATCCTACTCAGGTCCCCCCTCTCCCCTCCATCCCCCCCACAAAAAAAAGGAACAACTCAAGCTTGAGTTTGTCCCATCCATCTATATAAAACATGTACGTGAGTCTGAGATGCCATTGTGAGAATCAGGAAAGGCAGAGGGGGCACAAGGCAAAGGATGTATTTATTGTTCGTGCTTCTGCTCTTAAGCCGTGGTCTTCTCCAGTGCTCCCTGTGACGGGAGGTGTCCCCCGACCTCTGACAGAAGACAAGCATGAAGAGCGGAGCACTTCGAAAGAAGTAAAACAAGAAAAGATCCTTCAGTGGCCCAGCGTCCCAGCTGTGACTAAGAATTATTCATTAGATTTTTTTTTTAAAAAAAAATGCCCAAACACGCATGCACGAGCAGGTGGTCCCCACGGGGAGCCCGCCGCCACTGCTCGGGTGTCTGATGTCACGAGGTGTGCAGGCAGGCGTGGCCGATCAACATCGCCCTTCCTGCCGCCTGCTGTCTGCACAGAGCGAGCCCGGGTCACGCCGACTGCAGCCTCGGTTCTGAAACGTGGAGGATTCCGGGTCGTGGCTTCTGTGTTTCTTTTTCCAACTAGACAGTGAATTCCTGGCGGGAAAGGATGACGTCCCCTTGTCTTTGAGCCCCCAGGGACCGGCTCGGTCCCAGGCACCGTGAGAACGCTCGGAAAACGTTTCGTTGTTTTTGAATGGTGGTGATTTAAAAATGGCAAGGCTTTTCTGCAAATTAGAGGACGTTACAGTCGTGTGTTTCTTTGGAGCATACGAGTATTTGAAATGAGGCCGCGCCGGGACTGGGATCCTGACCCCGCAGTGGTGCTGGCGCCGGTGGGCGCTGTGACTCGGAGCCAGAGGATGAGGAGGAGGATGAGGAGGAGGAGGAGGAGGATGAGGAGGAGGAGTGTGGCGAGCAGAGTGCAGCCGACGGAAATGCTGGTGTGGATTAGTTCCCTGCGGCTGCTGTAACAAATTACCACAAGACGAACGGGTTAAAACAACACAAATTTATTATCTTACAGTTCTGGAGGCCAGAAGTCCAAACTGTGTCTCACCGGACTAAAATCAAAGTGTCGGCGAGGCCACGCTCCCTCACGAGGGTCTAGCCGGGGCAGAACCACCTTCTTGCCTTTGCCGTTTCTAGAGCCCCCTGCCTCCGTTGGCTCCAGGCCCCTTCCTGCATCTTCAAAGTCAGCATCTTCAAACTAGTCTCTGACTCTGACCACTTCTCTGCCTTCCTCTCTCACCTGTAAGGGCCCTTGTGGTTACCAAAGGCTCACCCGGGGAACCCGGATAATCTCCCATCTCGAGGTTAATCTGTGAGCAAGCCAAATTCCACCTGCAACTTTAATTCCCCCTTGCCACGTGACATAACATATGCACAGGTTCTAGGGAGCAGGACATGGACATCTTTGGTGGGGGCATTATTTTGTTTACCCCAGAGGAGCACTCAGGGGCGTCCTCCTTTTATCCTCAAGGAAACTCAGGCTTAGAGAGTTTATGTGAATTCCAACCATTACCTCCATAGCAGGAAAGACCTCTGACCCTCTGACTCTGGGCCATCTCTCCCCAGAGCCCTAAGCAAGGCTCGGTGGGAGGCTGGTGGCTTCCTCTCCCTCCACTTCTTTCTGTGCCTGTGCCCCTGGCTTCCCTGCTGACCCAGGCAGGGTGTCGAGGAGTGTGTCGGGTGGGCATACTCACCCACAACCAGACGGAGGGGACGGTGGCCGTTGCGTGGTGGTGTCAGAATGGATGGGGCCCACCCCCGAGAAGCTTGTCGCTTTGGTGAAGCTGCCAGGTGCCCAGGTGGGGCCGCTGAGTTCAGTGACTGAAGGCCCCAGGAGTCTGAAATCCTGGAATTTCTTCTTTGGGAAGCCCATGAAGGGGAGCTGAGGAGTGAGTCCCAACTGGCTGGTTTGCAGCTAACAGTGCCTTTCGCTGCCTGGGTGCGGCTGCTGCGGTTTCCTCTGTGTGGATGCTCTGCTACACCAGGGCTGGCCCCCAGCAAAAATAGAAAGGGGGGGGTGTTGGCTGCTGGGCGTCCTCTGAGGAGACACTGGTGATTCTGACATGGAGCCCAGGCGGAAGGCAGGAGGTGACCCAGGAGGCACAGCAAGAGGGCTCCTGCCACGTTCAGGGCCAGCGGGGAAGACACAGGAGGACTTAACTGCACCAGACTTCCACTGGGAAAGGGCAAACCAAGACCCGGGGGAGCAGATGCCCAGGGGAGGGGATTGGGTCTCATCCATCAAGTCACCTCCTCCCAAGTCACTTCCTTTCACACAGCTGCCCAGTCCCTTTACCCACCGCTGGAAGCTGACAAGAACTGGCCGAACTTGGCCTCTGGCCAAGGATACAGGGCAGAGAACTTCCTGCTTAGAAAGTTGGATTCCTCAGAACTCTGAGGTGAAGGCAGTCTTGAGAGGGAGGCGTCGAGGAGGGACAGTTGGGGTCACCGAGGAAGATGCCCCCATCTCTGGAGGAGAATCACCAGCGCATGTTGTCGGGCACGGAAAAGTCACCTCGGTTTAGCGCCACAGAGTCCCCTGCATCCCGGCAACCGGCAGGCAAAGAGAGAGCGCTGACCCCCAGGGGGTGAAGGATGAGAAGCGAACCGAGGTGTCTACCACGCAGGTGACAGCCCGCGTCCCGTGGCCTGGGGGCCTGGGGAACTGGGTTCAGGAAGAGTGAACTCTTTTTCTATTAATGGGAAGTCTCTGGCACAATATTCCTGACCACTAGCGAATGTGCTCTGAGCGGGGCGGAGCTTGGGACCCTGAAGGGGCAAAGGGACCTCCGTGCCCCTGGGTGTTAGGGGCATTAGCTGACTTTGAGGACTGTTGTTCTGGGGACGGGGGCGGGGTTGGGGACAAGACGAGGGTGGGGACGGCAAGTGAGCAGGGCGGGTCGGCAAGAGGAGAGGATCTGGGATGTGGCATTCCTGAGGAGACCCAACGTCAAGGAAGATTCGGGGTGAGGGTGGTTTGTCAGCTGGAGGGACATTTCCTTTGTGAAAATGACCCCTGGGTGGGTAGTGGGCCCGGATACATGAGAGGCCTAACGTCCTGTGTCGGAACCGCAGCTGCAGACCAGGAGGCAGGGCCCTGCCTCTGCCAAGGAAGAGTCAGTTGAACAGCTTCTGGGAGTTCCGGCTCGGTGCTGCCAGGCCCTGCCGCGGGGCAGGCTGCCGCAGGTAGGCCGCGAAAGGTGAGCTCTCCAGGCCGGGGTGGAAAGGACTCGGGGTGGCCCTGCAGCCACTGGGGCTCTGGTGCCCTCTGAGTCTCTCTCTGGGAGACTGGGCGGCGGCTGCCGGCCACCTGGTTGGGTCCTGGGCTCTCCTGCCAGGAGTTCCTGGGGTGGGAAGGGCTGAAGGTTGAGGTTTTCTTTTAGGAATTCAGTGTTCCGCTGGAAAATGTAAGCTGACCTCTGATGGCTCTTTCCTTCTTCTCTTGAGGCTCCTGACAGCTTCTGACAGGTACACCCTACAATGAGAGGACCCAGCAGAAACGGAGGGAGGAGCCGGAGGTAAGGGCTTTGGGCCCCGAACGAGGCTGGGGGAGCAGCCTCTCAGGCCGTCCTCCCCGTGGGCAGGGAGGGAAGTGTCGCAGGGAGCCCGTCTGGGACAGCTCTTGGTTTCTGGCAAACCTGGGGGCAGCCTGGCCCCTTGAGGACCTATGAGTTCATCGACACTGGGCCAACTTTGGGCTTGTCAGAGAAACCCCTGCGCCCTCTCTGTGTTACTGGACCCTGAGCAGAGAAAGTCCTGCAGGCTCTGAAGCGAGGAAAGCCCCCCCAGAATACGTGGTCAGAGTCAGGCTTTTCCACGGGCCAGAGAGGGCCTGGATGAAAAAAATCCCAGCAGTCAGCACTGCATTATCAAGTTACTTCTGGTTTACTAGAAACAAAGAACTTACGAAAAATTGAATCCATTTGTCTTGGTCAGCTCGGGCTGCTATATATAACCAATGCCATAGCCTGGGTAGCTTACAAACAACAGCAATTTCCCTCTCGTGTTTTCAGAGGCTAGAAGTCTGCGATCAGGATGCCGGCGTGGGTGGGTTCTGGGGAGGGCCCTCTTCCACGTTGCGGAAGGCCGGCTGCTCCCCCTGTCCTCACACGGCGGCAGGAAACGAGCGGGTGAGCTCTCGGGGGTCCCTTTTGTAAGGGCACTAATCCCATTCACGAGGGCTCTTCCTTCCTGACCTGATCACCTCCCAAAGCTCCCCCCCCCCCATATCATCACACTGGGGATTAAGTTTCCAAGTACGGATTCTGGGGACACGCAAACATGCAGTCCATAGCACCATTTCTGTATTTCTGTTCTAAACCACCGCCAGCCAGGTGGGTTTCGTTTTTAACCCAGTTAGCACAGGCGTTTGATAAATGGCTGTTAGGTAACGTGTTTGGAAATGTGATGTGGCAAGACTGTCATCATTATTTTAAAATCATATGATGCATCAAACTTACTGTTCTAGATGAATTTCAATATGATTTGTTATGGTCTGTAATGTAGCCATCAGTATTACCTGTTACTCCATTAAACCTGTGAATTCACTTAGCAAGTGGTGTCATCATTGTCAGATCTAGGTTTTTTGATGCTTGAAAGGCAATGATTAAGCGCACAGACTGTGGCTGCCGGATGCTGGGGTGGGGTCCGCATTTCACCCTTAGGTGTGACCTCAGGCAGGCTCCTTAGCCCTTCTGTCCCAATGGGGATATAATAGTATCTTACTGGGTCATTGTGCAAATTGAGTTAATACATGTAAAATATACAGAACTGGGCCTGGCCTATACTGTGGACTCGAATGTTAGCTATTAACTATCTCGTATTTATTTCAGTTCTTTACAAATGTATTTTATTCATGTGGATTTTGTATCTTTTTTTTTTGGAAGAAAATTTAGTGCTTCGGTTTCCTGTCCTGACAGCATGCCCAGAAAACAAGATGGTTTATGTTTTGGGACAGAGGATTTTAGAAAAATGTTAGAAATATAGTACATGGGAATGGAATCTTCTAGTATCATTAACCTATACCCAGCGTCAAGTCCTGTTTCCTTTACAACAGTGTGGGCTCAGTAGATGGTTGATGGATAATTTCAGCACATTCCCCAAATTATTTTTGGTTGTTTCTAGGTCCAACGGCCAGGAAAATGTCATCGGAAAGTAGCCAGCACGGCAATCCCACAGTGGCCTTCCCTCTGATGTTCTGGTATTCTCGGGAGCTGAGAAGCTGGCATTTTAAAAAAGATCAAGATTTTAAAGCTGCAATTGGATTGTTTTCCGTTTCATTTGAAATCCTCCTCACATCCCCTCGGACGCTGGAGAGCGTCCATCCCAGCTGTGGTCTTTGCCCTCCAGCCAGCTGTGCGATGTCAGTCAAGACACTTATTATCTGTTAGATGGAGAATTGCAAAAAATACTGTCGCCATTTCACTGGTTATTTCTTCCAATCAATGGGAAAGTGTGTGCAGAAATGTTTTGAAAGGAGAGTATGAAAACTGGCAAATTGGCCTCCATGATAAATAATACTTGATATCATATATTATAAAATTTAAAATTTCAATGAACAAGGAAATCCCTACTGACAGTATAAGTCTTTTTTAAAAATATTTTTTTATTTCAGCATATTGTGGGGGTATAAGTGTTAAGGTTACGTATGTTGCCCATGCCCCCCTCACCCCTCGAGTCAGAGCTTCAAGCGTGACCATCCCCCAAATGTTGCACATCTCACTCATTATGTTTGTATATACCCATCCCGCCTCCCCCTTCCACCTGCCCGACACCCCATAAATGTTATTCCCATATGTCCACTTAGGTGTTGATCTGTTAATACCAATTTGCTGGTGAGTACATGTGGTGCTTGTTCTTCCATTCTTGAGATACTTCACTTAGTAGAATGAGTTCCAGCTCTATCCAGGAAAATACAAGAGGTGCTATATCACCATTGTTTCTTAAAGCTGAATAGTACTCCATGGTATACACACACCACATTTTATTAATCCACTCATGTATTGATGGGCACTTGGGTTATTTCCACAGCTTTGCAATTGTGAATTGTGCTGCTATAAACATTCGAGTGCAGGTGTCTTTTTTGTAGGGTCTGACAGTATAAGTCTTGAGTGCTAGTTCCCTTGGATGCCAACCGTGATGTTTTCTTGAACCCGGGACCTTCGTCCAGCCACTTCTGCCTGTGGCCATCTCAGCTTCTTTCTATTGAACTGCCGTGAGGCTGCAGGTCCACTGAGCCCGTTTTAGGCCCTGGTACATTTCTGCTTTGTGGCTGCCTTGCCCCACAGGCCTGTGGGCCAGAGCCCGGGCCTCGCTGCTTTCCTGGGCCCCTGTGAGCAGCTCCCGTCTCGGGGACGCTCTGCCAAGCGCAGCTGTCTCGCTTTCCTCCCGCACTGCCTGCGGCCCTGGCAACACCTCCCTCTCCAGGGTGTCCACACGATGGGGGCAGGGACAGGGAACTGGCAGCCAGAGTCATCTCCCAAACCTGCCATTATGCCAGGCTTGGCCTTCTGATCCCCTCGCAAAACACTGCTTTCTTTCACTTTGCATTTTATCTCCAACTGCTTGCCCCAAGGGCAGTGTGTAGACAGTAGGCACTGCCTGGGTAAGAAAGTAGTAGTAGATTAGACTCCTGGATAAGTATTTTATTTTTTTTTAGTTTGAAAATATTAAAGGGGTACAAGTGTTTTTGTTACATGGATATCTTTTATAATGCCTAAGTCAGGAATTTCGGTGTGCTAGTCACCAGAATAGTGTTCGTTGTACCCAACAGGTAAGTTTTTATCCCACACCCACGCTCCTACCCTCCCCCTTTGTTGGTTTCTCATGTCCTTTATATCGTTTTGTGCCCGTGTGTGCTCACCTATTAGCTCCCACTTATTAGTGAGAACATAGGGCGTTTGTTTTTCTATTCCTGAGATGCTTCACTTAGGATAATGGTCTCCAGGTCCCTCCACATTGCTGCAAATGACCTTATTTCGTTCTTTTGTGTGGCTGAGTAGTACCCCATCTTAATCCACTCACGAACTGAAGGGTGCTTAGGTTGATTCCACATCTTTGCATTTGTGAACTGTGCTGTGATAACATTCACGTGCAGGTGTCTTTTTGATAAAAATGACTTCATTTCCTTTGGTAGGTACCCAGCAGTGGGATTGCTGGATTGAATGGTAGGTCTACATTTATTTGAAGGATCTCCAAACTGTTTTCCATAGAGGTTGTACTAATTTGAAGTTCCATCAACAGTGTACAAGTATTCCTTTCTCTCTGTATCCACACCAGCATCTATTGTTTGACTTTTTAATAATGGCCATTCTGGATAAGGGTAAGGTGGTATCATTGTAGTTTTAATTTTAATTTCCCTGATGATTAGTGATGCTGAGCATTTTTTCATATGATTTTGGCCATTTGTCCATCTTATGAAAAACTTCTGTTCATGTCTTTTGCTCACTTTTTGATGGGGTTGATTATTTCTTGCTGTTTAGTTTGAGTTCTTTGTAGATTCTGGTTATCAGTCCTTTGCTGAATATTTTGGAAATATTTTATCCCATTCTGTAGGTTGTCTATTTGCTATGTTGATTGTTTCCTTTGCTGTGCAGGAGCTATCTAATTTAATTAAGCCCCATTTATTTATTTTTGTTGTTGCTATATTTGCCTTTGGGGTCTTAGATATCTTTTAGATATCACCCTAGGCATATCAGCCTAGGAAAGAATTTATGAATTCTTTGCCTAGGCTGATATCTAACAGAGTTTTCTCTATATTTTCTTCTAGAATTTTTATGGTTTAATGCCTTACATTTAAGTCTTTAATCCATATTGAATTAATTTTTGTGTATGTCAAGTGAGAGAGGGGTCCTTGGTCATTCTTTTGTGTGTGGCTATCCAATTTTCCCAGCACCATTTATTGAATAGGACTTCCTTTCCCTAGTGTATGTTGTTGTCTGCTTTGTTAAAGATCAGTTGGTTGTAGGTAGATGGTTTTATTTCTGGATTCTCTATGCTGTTCCATTGGTCTATGTCTCTATTTTTAGGCCAATACCATGGTGTTTTGGTTACTATAGGCTTGTACTATAATTGGAAGTCGGGTAATGTGACACCTCCATATTTGTTTTTTTTACTTAAGATTGCTTTGGCTATTCAGGCTCATTTTTGGTTCCAAATAAAGCTTAGGATTATTTTTTCTAGATCTGTGAAATATTATGCTGGCATTTTGATAGGAATTGTGTTGAATCTGTAAATGACTTTGGGCCGTATGGACATTTAAACGATGTTGATTCTACCAATCTGTGAGCAGGCGATGTTTTTCCATTTGTGTCATCTGCAATTTCTTTCATTAGTGTTTTGTAGTTCTCCTTATAGAGATCTTTAAATTCCTTTGTTAAGTATATTCCTAGGTATTTTATTTTCTTTGTAGCTATTGTGAATGGTATTGAGTCCTTGGTTTGATTCTCAGCTTGACTGTTATTATTAATAGTATAGAGAAATGCCACTGATTTGTGTACCTTGACTTTGTAACCTGAGACTCTATGAATTTATCCATCAATTCCAGGAGTTTTTGGTGGAGTCTTTAGGGTTTTCTACATACAAGATCATATCATCAGCAAAAAGTGATAGTTTGATCTCCTCTTTCCCAATTTGGATACCCTTTATGTCTTTTTCTTGCCTGATTGCTCTGGCTAGGACTTCCAGTACTATGTAGAATAGAAATGGTGAGAGTGGGCATCCTTGTGTTATTCTAGTTCTTAGGAGGAATGATTTTGACTTTTCCCTATTCAGTATGATGTTGGCTGTGAGTCTGTCATATGGCTTTTACAATTTTGATGTATGTTCCTTCTATGCCTAGTTTTTTGAGGGTTTTTATCATGAAAGGGTACTGGATTTTGCTGAATGTTTTTTCTGCATCTATTGAGATGATCAGGTGGTTCTTGTGTTTGTTTCTCTTTATGTGGTGAATCACATTTATTGATTTACGTAAGTTAAACCATCCTTGCATCCCTGGGATGAAATCCACTTGATCATAGTGGATTATCTTTTTGATGTGCTGTTGAATTTGGTTTGCTGGTATTTTGTTGAGGATTTTTATAACTGTGTTCGTAAGGGATATTGGTCTGTGTTTTCTTTTTTTTTTTTTATTACATCTTTTCCTGGCTTTGATATCAAGGTGAGGCTGGCTTCATAGAATTAGTTAGGGAGGGCTCCCTTCTTCACGTTATGGAATAGTTTTGTACCATGAGTCCCAGCTCTTCTTTGTAGGCCTGGTAGAATTTAGCTGTGAATCCATCTAGTCTAGGGATTTTTTTTTGTTGTTGTTGGGAGATTTTTTATTACTACTTCCATATTTCAAAGTCTTGTTTGTCATTTATACATTCTCACTGCTGCTTCAGCTGTTCTGAAGTGCTTGCCGAATTCCCATTCTGTAGATTTCTGAAAAATTTCTGTCTGGCATACATTCTGAGAAAATGTGATATTTTATTATTTTAGTCAAAGAGTTTGGCTCTTGTAATAGTAGATACTATTGAAAAATATAGCCATAAAGTTTATATAACAGGATGGATTATTAAGACAAACAGACTAAGAGGAATGGACATAATTTCCCATCTTCATCCTAGGAAGCAGATCAGCACTGGGTCTCTTTAGTTCATTATATTAACATTAATTTCCTAATATTTCCCTTTATTAATGATTATTTGTCTACGTGTTATAAGGAAGGCCAAGAGGTTTGAATGAATGTGGGCACCTCAGTGGGAGGTAGGATAAGTTTACTTTCAGCAAGTGGACAGGCCAAGCCGTGGACCATTTTGTCTCTGAGGCCCCTGGGGGCATTACAGCCAATGTCTGAGGGGTGTGGGATGGCAGGAAGGACCAGGAGCAAGCTTGATGGAAGTAGAACAAAGAGAGTTTGCATTTTCCTCTTAGCCTGGGGGAGGATACTGGGGTTGCATAGTAAGACTAGTGCCCCACTGGTTGGGTGTCAGTGTTTGGCCACATATCTGAAAAATCCAGGCTAACTTGGGATTTCACAGTCTTCTCCAAAATTCCTGGGACACTGAATACACTTGATGGGTATAGGTCATTAAATTATTTCTTCCCTTATATCCCAAATTGGGTGAAGCAAGCAGAGACTCTCAATGCACTGCCCTTGCTTGTACCCTAGTGTGCTGTTGACTCTTTCTGTGCACCTTCCCTATCCCTCATATGGCTTTGATGCTCTTGGAAGTTCACATTCCCCTCCCAGCCCAGGGTCTGACCTGATCCCCCACCTTTTTAAAAGTTTTTAAACACCAATCATAAATTTACAGAAATACAACCAGCATCAAGAAACTCCAAACCATTTTAACCCTGCCCAAGTCAGAGCTACAAGTGTGCTACCAGACGGTGTGCACTGCCCCCATTAGGTGTGAATATACTCATCCCCTCCTCCCTGCTCCCTCCCACCTGCCCAACACTCCAAGTAATGATTGATAGGTAAAGACTTACTAGTACCATTTTATTAATTATTTTCTGTTTTGTAGATCCTTTGTTCCTTTCTTCCTCTATTGTTTTCTTCTTTTGTGGTTTGATGGTTTTCTGTAGTGGTATGTTTTG